TACACAAGCCTCCATTTATCATTTGCCCAACATAATCAAGAACGAGTCAGTCAGCTGACGTCCTTCCTCAAACATAATGGAATCCGCTTTATTCGACTTTGTTCAATCGACTTTAGTAGCTGTGTAATCATTTGTTTGCGACGATTACGTTATTCCGGTCAGGGACGTAGCAAGTCATTTTTGGCTTATAAGCCTTTCCCATACCTCGTAAATTGGATTTTAAGAATTTTAGGAATTGGTCGATAAACTTCCTCTCTCTCCTTATTCCATTTTGTTAACGTTTTGAGAAACTACACAAGCCTCCATTAATTCAAGAAATCTCTGTTGTCAGTGCGACCATCCACTCCTCACAGAAAGCTAGAAATATTGGTGTTACTTTAGACGATCATTTTCTTTTCAACGATCATGTTGCAAGTATCTGCAAATAATCTTTTTACCATCTCCTTCATATCAGCTACGTAAGAAAGTACTTGTGTGGTCGGACAAGTGGTCGGACCACTACTGAAATACTTGTTCATGCATTTGTATCTTCAAAATTGGATTATTCTAATTCATTACTCTACGGACTACCGAAATACCAAGAGTAAAAAAGTTACAGCACGTCCAGAACGCCGTTGCTCGTCTCATCTCTCTTTCACGAAAACATGAACATATTACGCCGATTCTGTTAAATCTTCACTGGCTTCCGATCATCGCACTATGTTTAAAATTCTACTCATCACGTACAAAGCTCTTAACAATCTTGCACCATCGTACATTCTTGATCTACTCACACCTTACGTTCCAGCTCGTCAACTACGTTCATCATCTAAAAATCTTCTTGTGATTCTTCGTTTTAATTTGAAGATATACGGTGCAAGATCTTTTTCCGTAGCTGTCCCCACACTCAGGAACACTTCGCCGTCCGATATTATGAACAGCTCCTCAGTGTCCGTTTTTGAAAACAAACTTAAAACTTTCCTTTTTAAAGAAATAATTTTTATATAAATACTAGCGCTAAGAAGTCACGACGTTTCGACCTCTCTGAGGTCATTTTCAAGTGAGTAAATTTTCCAAATCAGCATAAATATGTTGAAGCAAGTTGAAGACGATTAAATGTGGCGAGCGCTAAAATATGGGAAAAAGTGTAAACAATATACAATGAAAGAGAATAAAAGAATAAAGGAATTAAAGAATAAATTCATCGTAGCACGAATTGTTAAAAACAAATAGTTTGGCTCGAATTGAATCGCATAGTTTGTTTAGCGTTGGTTTCAGTTTTTTGATTAAAAAACATTTCAAAAACAAGACAGGTTTGTTCTGACACTTCCTTAAGATTTGAAAACTCTGTGCGATGTCTTCTGGCTCCATGTCGTGCTGCTCTCTCAGGTGGTGTCCGATTGCCGATCCTTTGTGTTCTTCAATTCGTTGGTGTAAGTGTCGGCACGTGTAGCCGACATAGCGTGCATCACACAGGCCACACTGAAATGAATACACCACGCATTGTTGACTCACAAGAGGCGGTTTGTCTTCCCTGACCCTAATTTCATTCTTGATCTTTTTACTTGTATAAACTGGGCTAATATCTACGTTGATCTTTCGACGGAGGTCAGCCAACTGTTTTCGTACTACATTTGCAGATTTCTGGTCCTTGTAGGGCAACACGATTCTGACCGGGGCTTCTCTTTTATCAGCCATTCGGGTATGTGAATCCTCACACACTTTTGATTCAACGAGTCTGCGAATGGTTGACTGCACAAGGTCATTAGGATAGCGCAGTCGGGAGAAGATCTCTTTAAAGCGTTCACATTCCTCTTGGAAAAACTTCTGCGTAGACAAGAGTTGAAACGCACGGTTTAACATGGTGATCAGCAGTGACCGTTTGTATCTGGCGTCAACGTGACTGTGATAGTGTAGCAAAAGCCCTTTGTCCGTCGGTTTTCTGTAGACTATGGTGTCTGGGCGGCAACCATTCCTGATAACATCCATTCCGAGAAAGGGAAGCCTGCCATTTTCTTGGAGTTCCATTGTGAAATCAATAGAGGGATGATGCTAAACCTACTTGCTCTCCCAGTGCGTTTGGGCGGACTTGGTATCGCAAACCCCGTAGAATTGGCATCTCAAGAGTATGAAGTTTTGGTAACTGTTACTGGACCACTGACTCAGCGTATCATACATCAAGATCACCACACTCCAGATGAACCAGATAACAATGCTGCAAAGTCCCAGGCAATAGCTAGGAAACATGAGACCCTGAAAGAATCTTAAGAGAGGGTAAAGAACATGTTAACACCGAACTCGCTCAAAGTGAAAGAACAAGGCGCATCAGAAAGAGGTGCCTCCAGTTGGCTCACTGTTATCCCGTTAAAAGACCTAGGATACGATCTCAATAAAGGAGAATTTAGAGATGCCCTTAAGCTGAGATATAATTGGGAATTCTCTCGGACATCCCAAACCGGTACCTCTGTGGTGACATCTTTGACGTGGACCATACGATGACCTGAAGAAATGGCGGATTTGTGATACAACGCCACAATGAGATCAGAGATCTGGAGGCGGCACTGCTTAGCACCGTATGTAAAGATGTGGAAATCGAGTCTCCCTGGCAGCAGATTACCGGAGAAATTTTTGAATAATGGGGCCAAAGCTTCCCAAGATGCGTGTCTTGATATTCTAGCCAGAGGTTTTTGGGAGCGACATAAGTCTGCATACTTTGATTTCCGGGCATTCCACTCTTATGCTGACTCCTATCGTGAGAGGACATCTGTGCAAGTCCTTAAACAGCACGAAAATGAGAAGAAACGGAAGTATGCCAGTAGAGTATTGGAGATAGAGCAAGGATCCTTTACACCCCTGATCTGAAGTACCACCGGAGGGATGGGCACTGAATGCAAAAGTTATGCAATAGATTACGTTGGCGGAGGTGCACGTGAAGTGAACGTAATCAATTACATAACTTGCTCTTATTGCAAAAAGTTATACATCGGCGAAACAGGAAGACGACTAGGTGACCAATTCCGAGAACACCTTCGCGACGTAGAAAGGAATGACAAGGACGCATCCAAACCAGTCGCTGGACACTTTAATATACCTAACCATCCTAAACAACAAATGGCAATCTGCGGTCTTTCCTTACATTTAGGCAACACGGAAAGTCGCAAGACTCTTGAACAAAAGTTCATCTTTCAAATCGGCACTCTTAATCCCACAGGTATCAACGAACGCTTTTCATTCCACTAATTGATTCGTGTTTTTCTCGTTGCCATGTTCCCACCAATGGCGTACCTC